CCTCATGGCCATATTCGGCACGACTGAGCTTGAGGGGCAGCTTCGCCGCACCCGCCTCGAGCCAGACTGCCATTTGAATCGATGAAGCGCCCCGCGGGCGAGGCAGTGTCTTGCGGACTTGCAGGCCTGTGCGCATGAAGAAGGCGACCTCGGACGCGTTTGGCGGGATCGAGGAACTGCTGTCCAACTTCTCACGCTCACTAGCATCTGCGTCGTTTCCAGATGTAGCATACCGGCACCTCGCAACCCTTTTGGCTGGAAAGAGAGCGATGCTACTTGCACGAATAATGACAATGGTGGACCTTACTACGGAAGAGGAGGCGGTCGAGGACATACGCACCGAGCAACACGAGCACAAGGACACAGAGAACAAACACAGTGCAATTGTTGACGAGTGGGTGTGCGCACATGACATGGAGGACTGCACGCCGTGTGGGAACGCATTTCAGACCATAAGAGCTCTCACAACACAAGTCACACACGCACATCGTCTGAGGAATCTGCACTCCATGATTGTCGCCAGTGATGTGTGCCCGTGGTGCCGAACAGCCTTCGCTTCCAGAGCATCAGATTTACGCCATTGTGTTACTATGGACAAGCGGGTGCCACGTCCTTGTCCCACTCGCTTCATGTCCTTGTCATTTCGGCCCGAGAAGACTTCTTCATACTTTTGCGGCTACTGCGCAGCCAAGCAACCGAACTACACGAGCACCTCGACCACTTTTCCACGCACGTCGAAGGACCCGAAATCGTGGCGAGTGACGATAGAGTAAGTAGGACGTCTCCCGAGAAGCCAGACGGGAGAGACAGGCCTCCTGTCGGCGGGAGGCAAAAGGGGGGCCCAAGCAGGCTCGTGGCAAGCCGAAGAAAGCACTTGGCAAATCAATTGGCTTCGAGGCGAGCGGTGAGGCGACACTCACCGTGGGAAAGCTCGCCCGCAACAACGTGCAGATGATACGAGCGGTCTCAGGCAGCCTGTGGGAGTGGACGCGAACGACGAGCACGACGCAGAGGTCGGCGCTCAGGCAAGGAGCAAATCCACGGAGAGGAGCCAGGCGGGCGAAAAGGACAAGGGCAGCCCGCAAGTGCACGTGTCGACGAACTGTATGATGGAGCGCGGGAGGATGGAGAACCTCCAGCCTGTCTCCAGGGGCAACGTGCGGCTGCTGAGCAAGATCATAGGCGTGATCGAATGCCCGGAACTGGCGGACTTGCTCCGCTACACGAGGGCGAAGAACGCGTGTACGGAGAAAGGCCAGAAGGATCGCTGGAAAATCCACAGCATGCTGCATCCGCTGGCCCCATCCCGTTCAACGTCACGATCGAGCAGGAACTCAACAAGCCGAGGGAGGGAACCGCCATGGCCGCGGCAACAGCAGCAATGAACTCATCATCAATCGGAGTGGCCGAGATCCGCAACGTGATGCGCCTGGTCACGCGCTCTCAGGGGGTGGGAACAGCACTCGTCGGTGCGCCACCGCCCAACGCGCTGGAACACCAGCTGCAGAAATACTGCGCAGCAGGCAGGCCACGGAGTAGACATAGCAAGTCTACTCAGACAAGCAGAGCACGGCAGCATCCGTGCCGTCCAGCGCCTTAGGCGCCTAGCGACGAATAAAGGGAAAGAGAGGTGAGGTGTCTTTGGGGAAGTGGGGGGGTCGGACACGGGGTTGAGATGCTCAGCCGCAGCATCATGCTATAGAGGTTACAATATCATATGAGATGCTGTATTTCCCTAGCCCGAGAAAAGAAGATGCATGTGATACATCCCTCGCCATCTTCCCGTGAAATCTTCCAGGGGGATCTGGCCCAGCGCCGAAACGGGCCCGAGAGGCCTTATGAGCCATAGGGTCTGGTAGGCTCCCCCTGCAAAGCGGAATGACATTGCCGGCAGCAATCAGCGCGACAAGAAGTTGAAGAACGCCTCTTCCCGATTAGAGATGAGGTCATCCAAACTGCCGAGGCGTCCGCCTCCTCCTCCTCATCCTCCCTAACGCGTGGACGAAGACTAGGTCGGGATCACGGCCGTCCCCAATTCAGACCACTCGCTAATGGGTTGTGAACTCGACCTCCTTCCTACCGCGCGGACGAAGACGAGGTCGAATTTACGACCCGTCCTTATCAGACCAGTTGTCGGGATTGCGTTGTTCCTGTAGAGCCGCTAAGGGTGCACGATAAGGATGCAAGGGCCTTGGAAGGCCGGTTCGAAACTTCTCGGGCGGGGCGCGGCCAGCGAAAGTAGCTAAGGATGGACCGAGGAGACAAGGATGCAAGGGTACCATTGGGAAGGTTGCCCATCCTTATCATGCGGGTTGACCGTGCTCAGTCTCCTTCCTGCAGCGCTGTTGCACAGACACGGTGGCGGGGGTAGCCGCAGGCGGCTGAATAACCCGATGATAAAATTATCCTGGCGAAGGACCCAACCATATGCAGTGGTGAGCATCGCAATTGTGAGTATCTTCTTCGGTGGCGCTCCCTATGGGGCCACGAACCGCATGAGGGGTGTGCCGAAATGTGGCGGGGTACACAACGCAAAGGAATACGATATATCTGATTACGAGAGAAAAAACGCGGGTGAGTCAGAGCGCGAGGGAATCTGAGTATGAATGGGTCTGCGCGCGAGTGAATATATTTGCATGAGTGCGATCATGGAAACGCCTAGTGTAAGTGTCGAGCATGCCTGTCCGAACACACGTGACACTGGGCGTGGCCGCCGCAGGCAGCTTCCGCGGGAACCCCGACGGCAGCGTCCGCACGTCGCGACGCCCATGTCGGCACGCCTCTTGCGAGGATCGCGCCCGCTTTCGGCTCTTCTTTTCCTTCCTCTTTGCCCGCGCACTCCAAAATCCAAGGCTGCGGGCGCAGCGCAGCGCGGAGTCCCCGCGACGCGCGCTGGTCGCCCCGGGCGGGGTCCCAGCGACGCGCGCGGGTCGTCCGCTGCGCGAAGCAGAGAGAGCTGACTAGCTAACTGGCTGGCTGATAGCGGGCAAGTCTCTGACCGCTGGGCAGAGCGACGACGGGCGAACGAGGCGCCGGGCCCCCCGCAGCACGGAGTTCCCGCGACGCGCGCTGGTCGCCCCGAGAGGGTCCCAGCGACGCGCGCGGGTCGTCCGCGGCGCGAGGCCAAACAATTAGTCGGGCAGTCGAGAGAAGGCGCGGCTCGGGGGAGACGCTCCTCAGGTCAGGCCTCGCGGATGAACTCGGTGAAGCCGAGCTCCCTGGCGAGGGCCGTCGCTTCCCTCCTGCGCCGCTTCGTGCGCGCCGCAAACTGCTCCAGCTGCTTCCGCAAGCCCTGCGGCGGCCCTGCCAGGAAGAACTCGATGCGCGGCGCCCGCATGAGCAGGAGGTCCTCGTGGCGCGTGGCGCGCGAGAGCAGCACGTAGAGCTCCAGCCACCAGTCGTCGTCCTCCTTCTTGCCGTTCCCTACCTCGTGGCGGCCGCAATCCAGGATCACGCCTGGGCGACGTCGACCGAGGGAGCAGCGCGCCGGGCAGCCGACGGCCCAGGGCGAGAGTCCACAGGACCGAGAGATGGTCTGGCCGCGGACTGCTCGCGCCCCGGAGGTCTGGCCGCCCCCGGAGCGCCGTTCCCCCGCCCCGTCGCCTTCGCGCATGGTGCGCCCCTGGCACGCCACCGTGGTGATGACCCTGCCGTGCGAGAAATGCGGGGGGTGTGCCGAAATGGGTGGGGGTGACGCATGCGGGCGGCGGCACTGAGGCCTTCGGTGGAGCTCCCTATGGAGCCACGAAACGTGTGAGGGGTGTGCCGAAATGGGTGTGGGTGACGCATGCGGCCGCGGGCACTGGGGCCTTCGGTGGAGCTCCCTATGGAGCCACGAAACGTGTGAGGGGTGTGCCGAAATGGGTGTGGGTGACGCATGCGGCCGCGGGCACTGGGGCCTTCGGTGGAGCTCCCTATGGAGCCACGAAACGTGTGAGGGGTGTGCCGAAATGGGTGTGGGTGACGCATGCGGCCGCGGGCACTGGGGCCTTCGGTGGAGCTCCCTATGGAGCCACGAAACGTGTGAGGGGTGTGCCGAAATGGGTGTGGGTGACGCATGCGGCCGCGGCACTGGGGCCTTCGGTGGAGCTCCCTATGGAGCCACGAAACGTGTGAGGGGTGTGCCGAAATGGGTGTGGGTGACGCATGCGGCCGCGGGCACTGGGGCCTTCGGTGGAGCTCCCTATGGAGCCACGAAACGTGTGAGGGGTGTGCCGAAATGGGTGTGGGTGACGCATGCGGCCGCGGGCACTGGGGCCTTCGGTGGAGCTCCCTATGGAGCCACGAAACGTGTGAGGGGTGTGCCGAAATGGGTGTGGGTGACGCATGCGGCCGCGGGCACTGGGGCCTTCGGTGGAGCTCCCTATGGAGCCACGAAACGTGTGAGGGGTGTGCCGAAATGGGTGTGGGTGACGCATGCGGCCGCGGGCACTGGGGCCTTCGGTGGAGCTCCCTATGGAGCCACGAAACGTGTGAGGGGTGTGCCGAAATGGGTGTGGGTGACGCATGCGGCCGCGGGCACTGGGGCCTTCGGTGGAGCTCCCTATGGAGCCACGAAACGTGTGAGGGGTGTGCCGAATTGGGTGTTGATGATGATGATGATGATGATGATGGGAGGGGGGAGGAGGCAGCGGGAGGAAGGAAGGAAGGAAAGAAGGAAGGAGAACGCGGGGCACCGTCTCTTCAAAACGAGGACCCAACACCACAGGATGGTTGGGAATCAAGACCACTAGCAAGAATACCGCCACATGCTTGCACAAATGATGGCTGCTTCCAACGACACGAAATTCACACCAATGGCTGATCTGGAATGATTGGAAAACATTGCTGTTTGCGTACGTTGTGCACGACATCTGGAAACTAAAGCGAGACGTATTGCACAGAAGAGAGGTCACACAGCGCTGTCCGAACGACGTGGAGCAGGGGAAGGGGACAGACCCCCACAATGCTCCCCCCCAGTGCCAAAGAGGCTGGGTAGTTGCGTTGTTAGTGCGTGGTAGGTGACGTCCCAGGTCACATTAGACTGGCGCACGAACGCTCAACTGATGAAACTGCACAACGCCCAACGCGACAAAACGAATGGAGATGAGCATCCCCGCGTATCTCCGCGGATCCTCTCGCCGAGTCCATCCAGAGACCCGCTTCCCTCGTCTTCAACGCGCGGTGCACTAAAGGCGGAGGCACTTCATCAAATCTTTCATAGTCTTTCTCAGCGGCGTCGACAACGCGCCCGCTTGTGCCTCGCCGGCCGCATGGAAGATCCATGACATCTGCCGTGCGGATAGTGTGACATGTCAGGGACATCAAACATCCGCACCGTGCCCCCTGGCACGTGAAGTCGGGGTAGTATGCCAAGTGCATCCTAATAGAAGAACAACGAAAGCGCCATAAACATTAACCTTTTGGCGCTCCGAGCGGACTTCTTGATTCTGCGCTGGACCCTCCTCCATGGCGCGCCAGGGGGGCCCGGCGCGGATCCGAGAAATCCGCGCGGGGCGCCGAAAGTCTATGTTTATGGCGTTTTTTCTTTTTCGATCCTAGTAGGGTCACTGTAAGTCTGCCGAGGGACGCCCCCTCTCCTCACGCTTCACTGCATGCATCGCCCCCCCCCCTCCCTCCTGAGAATTCCTGGCCGGCTCAGCGCGTCCCTGGGGCTCTGGATGTCTACAGCTTCCAAAGACCTGGCAGGCGAACAACTGTATAAGATACACTTTTCCGCCGTCGGGGACGCCTGCCCCCGACAGCAAAACCGTTCTTCGCCTGTTAAAAGACGGCCCAGGAACCCCACCAAGGCCGCACGAACGGCCCCCAACATTGCCTCAAGAGGCCAGGCAGCCCCTAACAGGACCCTCAGAGGCGCCAGAGTGAGGTCCGAGACGCTTCAGAGGCCAAGAGGCCCTCCGGGTATGAGCCAAAAGCCGCCGCCGACCCTGCTGGCGTGCGCGACGGGTTTCCTGGTTCGAAGGCCCCTGATTCTGGGCTGGCCGTCTGCGCTCTTGGGTGGGCAAGTGCTGCCACGGCACTGGGAAATCACTGTTGCCTGCACGAATGCGCCAGTGCACACTCCTGGTACAAACCTGGTAGGGCACCTGGACAGCTGAGCTCATGACCTGAGCGGAACTATTCGTGCGAGACCACGCCTTGCTTCGCTCGGTGGCTCTGCTCTAACTCACGCGCACGTGCATGAACGCGGCAACGCACAGTGCAGGTGAGCCGTCGTCAGGCCTGCGCTGGATCGACTCGCGAACCTGGATCGGATCGGAAACATACGGGATCGCCAACGACTCGTCCCGAGCTCGGATCGTCGCGCCCGCCCCTTGCTGGCCCCCTTGCGGGGAATACCTTTGTCCATCTTAATCCTCTGCAGCTTGGAGATTCGGGCTCCCTTCACCAGAAACCCGAGGTGGATAGAACTGCCCCCCAGAGGCGCGATGCTTAGCTGCATCCGGTGCGCCTCGGCCTCGTGGCGCCACTTCCGCGAACATCCAAGACGCACTGGATATGGACACAGTTCTTGCCGGCACCCCTGGCCGGCGCATCGATTCGCATCGACATCGGATCGCGGGCGCCCTTGAGACCGGCGCTGCGCCGAGGACCGCCTCTGAGGTGAGGCGCGCGGGTCGCGGCACTGCGGCCCGCGGGGCCACGGCGGCGCGTGGCCAGGACTCGGACAGAGAGCGCGCTCGCACCGAATGTGCCCCGGGTGGCGTTTCGCTGGAGCGGGGTTCGAGGAATCGCCTGCAAAGACAGCATACGAGATCCCGCACGGGGGACGAGGAGCCCTGGTCTGCGCGATCGGGTAACCGTTTTTGTCTCAGGCTGCACCACAACTTCTGCAGGAATCGTGCTCTCGCCCCGATGCCAGCTGCATGTTGGGTCTGGACGGCCACGTTCCCCGGTAAACAACACCCTCAGGTGTAAAAGGCCGTGCTCTCACCCATGTCCCAACTGCATCGTTGCTTTCTCAGTGCCCTGACCGTGCTTCTCCTACTCCTCGACCCGCCTCCTCGCCTGTGCTGCTAAGATGATGCCTTGCTAAGCTAATAATACGCATGCTTTTTTGATGAATAAGCTGCGCTGCAGAGGTCCGACGGAACAGAAGTCACATGGCTCTCCATAGCGGCATGAGGATCACACCAGAACCAAATCCATGTCAAGCCAACCTCTCCTCTGGGAGCTCGAGATGAGCTCCGAGATGGCTGGCACCAGCACGTGCTCCGCTAACAGAGTCAGGAACGGCGGCACAAAGGTACACTCCTGGAGGCCCGCGTGGATCACCCGGATCGGCGCCGGGACCCCTTGCGGCACCTCCGCGACAGGGGCCAGCGCGGCTCCAAGGGATCAACGACGACCTCAACAAATTTACGTTTGTGCAGCTTTTCCTTCTCAGGGCTAAGAACTCGTAGCCGACTCCGTCGGCCTGCGGGCAGTGCGGGCAAAAGCACGCCGACTGGTTGAAGCACCGGGGGTTGGGCGACGCGCCACACTGGCCGACCACCGCGGCGTGCAGGTCAACGGTCGGCACGCCGTGCTTTCTCATCACCGCCGCTGCCGCCGCGTTGTTGCCGCGGACGACGGCGTCGAGCGCGGCGTCGCACATCTCGGGGGTCGTGATGCCAAACAGCAGCTTGGTCCCGCCGGCCGCTGCCCAGCTTACGAGCTTCTCGGTTATTCGCTCGAGATAGGGCGCGTACTCTGCGATCGGGCCGGCCTGCCCTGGCTCGGCGGCGAGCGAGGGGGGGGACTGAGGAGGAGAAGGCCTTCTCAGAAGGCGGCGGGGCTTCTCAAAAATCCTCCTGCCTTCTGACAAGTTTTCCGTGTTCTCGGGGAAGGCTCAGAAAATGTCTTAGAAGGCCGGGGGACTTCCGAGCCTTCTGAGAAGGCCCGCGCCTTCTCAGTTCCCCCCCTCGCTCGCCGCCGACTGGCGCCGTCCGGCCGTCCAGGTTGTGCAGTCCGAAATTGTAGTACAGCACGTCCGGCACCTGGGGCGTGCCGTCGGGCGCGGCGAGGAGGAAATCCAGGCACTCCCAGCCATAGCGCGTCTCCTCGGCCCCGCCGTCGCCGCCCCACGGGGAGTGCTGCACCAGCGCGGTGCCATTCATCAGCGCAGCCACCTTGGGGAAATAGCCGATGGAGACGGAGTCGCCCAGAAGGACCACGTTCGGCATCTCGGTGCTGAGCGGTAATGGGCCGCCCGTCTTGCAAACCTGCTGCCCGCCGCCTGTGCTGCCTGGAGGTGCGACGCTCCCGCTTGAGTCAACGCACGAAGACACCACACCATAAGACTCGCCCGCGTTCTGGCAAGTCGTGCCGGAAGGGTCGGGGGTGGCCAAGAGGGGGGTGCCCAAGAGGGGGGGGGGGGGGGAAATCATGGCCAGCGGCATGTGCGCGGCCCAGAGGGGGGGGGCTGGGGATGCATTGAAAACAAGAAGGAACGCCATGAAATCTGGGGAGATATCATGGCCCCCGCCATGACATCCACCCCCGCCCTCGCCCTCACCCCCCCTCTTGGCCGCCCCCGAAAGGGCAGCAAGTGTAGTCGCCGCACGAGACGGCGCGCGGATACGGGCAGCACCCCCAGTTGCCCTCGCTCGGCATCCACTTTTGCGGCGCGCAGGTGGCGGTGGCTGGGCTTAGGTCGGGCGTGTCCTCCTACAGGCGGATTTTGGACGGACGAATATTTGAAAACTCGCCCCGTACTATATTTGGACTCTTTTTGAATATTCCTCCTGTAGAGGGGCATGCCCGACTTAAGGCTGGGCAGGCGGTGCGGTTGTATGCGGGCGACAGCCCGCCACACGTCGTCCAGGGCGCGCCGGCGGCCAGGGGCACGAATGCAGCGAGGAGCGTCAGCATGTCTTGAGCCATCTAGCAGGCCCGCTCCTGAGCAGAGCCGTAGACGCCTGTAGAGGCCTCCCAGGTGGGGTCGGAGCAGATGGGGTCGGAGGATCTCGCCGCATCGCCGATGCATCGGCGATGCATCGGCGATGCACCAGCGATGCATCGTCGACGTCGGCGATGCATCGGCGACGTCGAATTGAGGCAAATCGGACGCCACATAGAGCCGCATCGCCGATGCATCGGCGATGCGGCGAGATCCTCCGACATCATCTACTCCGACCCCATCTACGAAGGAGGCCTGGAACCTGCCAATCGGACGAACAGGCAGGCGCGGTCAGCCAAACCCACCCGCCGCCGGCACGCGACGTCAAATCTCCCAGCTCTTGGCCCCGCCCTGCCCCGCTGCCCGACTCTCTGTGGTCACCCTGGGGCCCAGTCCTCAAGAACTGCCCCCCTCCTTATCCCTGCGGCCATCCTGGGCCCTCCAAGCTCACAAACCCGAAGTGTGAACCAACGCAGGCCGCACCCGAGTCAAAGGAAAGCGCCTTCCCCTCGATCGGATCCGACGAGACTTGCCACAGTATACGGCCCTGTGGTCGGTGCCAGAAGCGTCGCCACAATGAGTGCTGCCATGCTCGGAAGGAGGACGGCATGGAGGCAGCTCGACGCAGGAGCAGCAACGCTGACCGCCATAGTTCGGCGAGGTTGGACCTCCGAGCGTGTAATTCTGTGCGTGCCACTTCAGTCTTTCTGGATGACTTTGGGCCCGCTTTGGGAGCGCCGTGGCTTGGGACACTCCAGCCATGCGCCTGGCTTGAGCTGATTTGGGGTGCGGTTTCGCCTTTTTTAAAGTCGGGTGCTCGTTGGGGACCCAGCGCCCTCCAGGAGTCCTTGGGGACCTAGTGGCTAGAGCAGTTGGCGACTCGACGCTGGTGGTCGTTGGGGTGCGGTCTCGCTCGAGCCATCCTCACTGCCACTGGCTGCAAGCCGGCACTGGCCTGTGGACCGGCGCTGTCAGAACACTCGCCCGAGGAGGAGGAGGAGGAGGAGGAGGAGGAGGAGGAGGAGGAGGAGGAGGAGGAAGAGGAGGAGGAGGAGGAGGAGAGGAGGAGGAGGAGGAGGCGGAGGCGGAGGAGGCGGAGGCGGAGGCGGAGGAGGAGGAGGAGGGAGAGGAGGAGGAGGAGGAGGAGGACTGGCAGGAGAGGAGAGGCGAGGGGACTCGCAGCTCGGGAGGGTCCGCGACGCGACTCCTGCACTGCCCGACGCGCGCAGCACTCGAGGCGGGCTGCGGGCCACGCGGGAGGAGAAGGGGGAAAACGAGGAAGATGAGGAGGAGGGATGACGGGGAGAGAGGAGGAGGAGTAGGAGCAGGAGGAGGAGGAGGAGGAAGGAGGAAGGAGGAGGAGGAGGGAGGAGGAGGGCGAGGAGGCGGAGGGCGAGGAGGAGGAGGACGGTAAAGGAAAACAGTACTGAGCGTTTCGGGGTCAGTGTGGAGGCGTAGCTAACGAGCATCCGGGCCCCTGCGGGGAGGTATGTGTGCAGGGCCGAGCGTCTCTCTGGGGACACCCCCGGCCTGCCTGGGGCGCCCCATCTGGCCCCGCTGGCCCGCAAAGGGGGGCCCTGCGCCGGGGGCTGGAGCTCCCTAGAAGACAATCCGTGCGAGGGGGGGGGGGGGGGCGGGCCGGGGCCACTGGCCCAGCCCGAGCACCCCCTCCCCAGAGGGCAGGGCAACCAGGGACAGCAGAGAGGCGGCGGCGGCACCCGCCGCATCCCGGCACTTCGCCGGGGGCCGCCAGGCCCCGCGCGCGCACGCGCGCGCCGCGGGGCGATGGCTCTCCTCGTTCCTCGGCCCCCGCCCCTCCTGCCGCCCCCCCCTCCCCCACGGAGCGTCTCCCGGGCCCCCTGGCGCTCGTCCCCGACAGGGCCTCGCGAACGGAGGGAAAGCGCCGCAGGTGGATTTGGACGTCCGAAATGGGTACAGAACGAATGGGTACAATGCCCAAGAACAAATGTTGTCCCAAGCCAACAGCGGCCGCTGTTGGGCAAGCGGCATTCTGTCTCGAATGGACACAGGCCGCGGCGGCGCGGACAGCGGATCCTGTTCAAAATGAACTGGAATTGCTGTTGGGCATTGTACCCATTCTTTCCGTACCCAATTCGGGCGTCCAGAGTGGAGGAGGTGGGAGGAAGAGAAGAGCGCGAGAGGACTGGCAGACAGGACCCGACATAGGGGGGAGAGCCGCAAAGCAACAAGCACGGGACAAGGAGGGGAGGGGAGAAGGGAGACGCCGTCGGGGGCGTACATGATCAACTGTAACTAACTACTGCTTGTGCCCAGCATTTACCCTTTAGCTTTCAGCTCGTAGTCGTGTTCTTGTTCTGTTTCAGCGATCCAGCTCTTGACTGTTCCATTCAATGCAGCAGCATATGAATGGCGTCCTTGCCATCCACTGTCGAGAGATACAGCTTGCTGTGACATGGAGTGCCCCCACTGTAATGTTTCTTCCGCTCCCCGATTGTAGTTGGGACGACGTGTCTCCGGGAACCCTGCAGTTTGTTTGGTCTCCCTCAATTGAGGGATGGAATAAAAAGACCCTACCCTGGGTTGCAAGTTCGTGGTCTGTAAACCTCCTGGGAACCCCCAGAGCCTAGAAAGCCGCCAGGACGCGGCACATCACGCAGGGTTTATCCTGTCAGCCCACAGGAGGTTCAGCGCACAGCGCCTCGCAAACCAGGGTAGGGGCGTTTTTTGCGCCCTTGACCGATCGTAGTTGGGACGACGTGCCTCCGGGAAACCTGCAGTCTGTTTGGTCTCCCTCAGGGCGCAGGGCCGACGATCGGGGCTCCAGACTACAGCTCGCAGGAGGGCCTCAGCCACAGCAGGTGCTCTGCCTCGGGGATGGACAGACCCCCCTTTAGTAAAACGTGGTTTAGTGAAAACGACCTGAGGCCCAAACCTGGAGGGCGCAAGCCTGGAAAATAACGGCCACGGAGCCCTCTCGAGAACCGAAAACGGACAATTCAGTAATCGACGTGTCACTGTTGGGGGTTCTGTCCACCCCCGACTGCCTTCGCGGGCCGGGAAGGCTACGAGGCAACGCGTGACGTGCGATCTAGTCTATCTGGCCGAGAATGCTGATCTGCTCCAGCTGGCCGCTTTTGGCCGTCATCTCGGAGCTCGAACTGGGCTGGGCCTCGCGATGGTCGTCGAACGGCACGTCGGCCGTGACATCGCTCTTCTCTGGATGGGGCTCCTCCTGTTCCCCCCCCCCCACCCCACCCACGCGCCCATCTGTCCTTGCCGGCTCCCAAGAACAAAAACTGAGAGGCGACGCCGTCTCTGGCGGGGTGGGCGCCGCCGTCATTACTGGCGCCTGGTTGTTTGCCAACGTGGTAAGGGTCCTGATCTACAAGGTGAGCGTTGTTTTTACCCGGCGTTTCGACATTGGGCGGACGGAGGGGGGAGGATGGGGGGTCTGGCTCCGGACCTCTGTCTAGTGCGGCTGTTCGGTTCCGTGCGTCCACCATGGGGGAGGCTCCACCTGCTCGAAGCGGGCGCGAAACGACGGCCAAGATCTGTACTCCAGGGGAGAGGGGGAGGGGGGGGTGCGAGTTCCTGCGCTGATCGTCAGAACAGCAAGCAAAAACGCGAGCACCAGCCGCGCGCGAGCCAGGTCGTCAGGCTGGCCGGGCCCAGCTTTTGAGCCTCGCCGCCTGCCGGCGCACCTCCCGCGCCTCTGGGAGGTGCCCTGGTGCAGCTCGGGCTTGCGCGCCCCGCCCGGGCGCCCCCGGCCGCGCCTCGGGGGCGTTCGGGCCCGGCGTAAGGCCTCGGCGCTGCGCTGGTCGGCCCGCGGATGACCTTCCCGCGCCGTGCTCGAGGCTGCTCGCGCACGTGTTCGCCCACACGCTGCTGCAGAGCTTCCTGCGTCGCACGAGGGCTCGCCCAGATGCCCCTCGTCCTGGCCCCCCTCGCGCGGGAGCGGCCGCGACTCTGGGCGGCCTGTGTCCACGCTTCTCCCGCGCCGTGGCGAGCTGCTGGGCGGCATGGTCGGTCGCGTTGCACTAGTGCTGGAGTGCCTCGCTGCGCTCGAGCCTCCGTAATTACCTCCTCGCGCGAACCGCTCGTCTCGCCCTGCGTGCACCCGGCCTGGCTCGCGGCGGCGCGCCGCTTCTGGCCGCGCAGGGCACGACCGTTGAGAAGCCCATGTCGGTCGCTTGTTTTTTGCTGGGCGCCGCGCCACCGCTGGCGATGGCCTCCCGGGCGCGCCGCAGTGCCCACTCTCAGCGAAACGCTGGCGGCACCCTGACGGTAGACCTGCAAGAACTGGCCATCGCTCGGACGTCCATTCCCTGTGTTTTTGTCGGTTTCGTGCGCGTTTTTCCGCCAAGTGATCAAAGATGCTCCTCGATGGTCCTCGCAGAAAGAAAAATGCACACGTCCGAGCGATGCCACGAGAAACGCATGACAGTGTAAGCCCACGCAAGGGGACTCGAATGCAGACCCCGACGAGACGGACCCTGAAACGTCGACCCCCGCGAGACCTAAGCGCCTTTAAATGCGGGCCCCGACCTGAAAGACCTTCTTGGAACGTCACCCCCTCTGGGAGAAGGTCTGGTATACAACAACCACACCGCAGAAGGGGTACCTTGTGTACCAAACCTTAATCCACGAGGGACTGCGACACCCTCTCTCTCGGCCTGATCGATGACCGCCACGGGCAACGTGGCATCCCGTGGCGCCATGGCCAGCGAGATCTTAGCGTAGCAAGAACACGTGACGCAAGACATGGGAAAGGCAGTCATCAAAGGGTCCAGGGACACACAACTAAATACACACACACAAATAACAGGATTCCCCATATCTTCTTATGTTTTCTGGGTTTTCGTCTTCCCCCACACTTCCCATATCTTCCCATCTTTTCTGGGGAATCGACGATTAATTGTGTCTGTGTGTTTCTTTCCCTCCTGAGTACTCCCCCCCTTCGGGCCGGGCGAAAGGGGGGGATAGCAAAGGGGGGGTGAGAATCAGCTCACGTAGCTGATTTTCCCGGCGCCGGGAGGCGCCCATGTATCGAGGGATGGGCCTGGCAGCGGGGCCGAAACCAGCTGCATGCAGCTGATATTTCGTAACCCCCCCTTTCCCTAGCCCCCCCCTTTCGTTCGGAGTGCCCCCCCCTCGCGCCTTCGCCAAGTTCTCGTCGCCCTGGCAATTCCTCGCCTGGGGGGCGGACCGCGGGCCGCGACGGGCGGGGCTGCAGGCAGGGAGAGAGGACCCAAAACACGAGGCGGACGGTCGAACGAAAAACGAGGAGGAGGATTTGGAGGAGGAGGAGCAGGAAGAGGAGGAGGGGGAGGAGGAGGAAGAAGAGGAAGAGGATGAGGACACACCCCATTCACGCGCTGAGATGCCCGATAATCCGCCCATCAGGCGCGCGCGTGCAAAAAAGCATAAGCTTGAACTCAAACTTCGCTCTGGGAAATGATGTGTGTGTGTGTGTGTGTGTGTGTGTGTGTGTGTGTTCTGTTGTCGGGGGGGGCTTGTTTTCGCTGTGGAGGGGGTGCGCGTTCAGTTTTCGAAGGGGGTCGTTTCGCTTTGGGGGAGGGAAGTCCGTTTTCGGGGGGGGGGTCGCTTTGGAGGGCTGGGGGTGGGATGTTCCATTTTCGGCGGGGGGGGGGCTCGTCCCGGTCTGGGGGGGAAGGGGGGGGTGATCCGTTTTCGTGTTCGGCGCGGGGGTGCTGGGAGAGGGGGGCGTTCCGTCTTCGAAGGCAGGAGGGTTCGCTTCGCACTGGGATGGCAAGGAGGAGGGAGGTCGGGGAGGGCGCTCGATCGTTTCGCTCTGGGGGGGGGGAATGGGGAGACATGTTGCTCCGTTTGCGGCGTCGGGGCGGGGAGCCAAAGCATGGGACTCGGGGGGGGCAGCGGGGCCGGGGAAGGCGCGGGGCCGCGGGGCCGCGGCGGGCTGGCTGCGGGGCCGGGGCGCACCCGGAGCCGGAGCGGGCACCCGGGGCCAGGAACAGGGGCTGGAGCCAGGCGCGGGGCCGGTGCCGGCCTTTGGGTGGGAGCGGCGGAGAGCCGAGACCCCGAACTGCTCGAGGGGCCGAGGGCCGGGGCGGCGCAGCTGGGGCGGCGCCGGGACGGGGGTCGGGGCCAGCATCCAGGACCAGGTCGGGGCCGGGGCCGGCGTGGGGGCCGGGGCGGGCCCTGGGCTATATATAGAGCCAGGAGAGGCGAGGCCGGGGCCGCAGCCGAAGCCGAGCGCGGAGACGACCCCCAGCCCAAGCTGGGGCTGGAGCTGGGCGCGGGGCTGGGGCTGGGCGCGGGGCTGGGGCTGGGCGCGGTGCCCGGGGCCGGGGCTTGGCCTAAGACTGGCCAGGAGGCCCCCAAGAGGCCTCCAAGATTCCCTCCAGGAAGGCCCGAAAGGGCAACAATCATGGATTGTCCTTAGCTTTTGAATGATGTTAACATGTTCTTCTTATCAGCTGACGGCCAAGACGGCCCAAGCGCCCCCCAACATCGTCCCAAGAGCGCCCAAGAGGCCTTCAAGATGGCCCCATGACAGCCCAAGAGGCCCCCAAGAGGGACCCAAGAAGAGCCCAAGATGGCCCAAGACGGCCCCGAAGACGCCGAAGATGGCCTCCAAGATGGCCAAGATGGCCTCCAAGATGCCTCCAAGACGGCCAAGAAGGCCTCCAAGACAGCGAAGATGGCCCCAAGATGCACCCAAGACGGCCCCAGATGGCCTCAAGATGGCCTTAGCCTACCCCAAAAGCCCGCAAGAGGCCTCCAAGACGGCCCAAGAGCCCTCCAAGACGTCCTCCAGGAAACCCGAAAGCTCGCAAACCACCTGGTCCGATAGCTCGCCCGACCCCGTGTTCCCCGAAAGCCTTCGAAACCCACTCGGGGAACAACTGGCCCGATGGCTTGGCCAAGCCTAAACCCAACTTTCGACCGCGCAGGCGCTTTCAAAAAGGCGGGGGGCGGCGGTGATTCCCCGTAGGCGTCTTCGGTATCATGCAAGAACGCGTCCAGGGCGAAGCACACGCTACACATCAAATCATGCACCAGCATATAATGGAAAACATGGCAGGAGAAGGCGGGGCGTGGCCTTGAGCGAACAGCAACCCTTCGGTAGCCGACCAGAAAATACCGTGGGCAGCGGAGAAGGAAAAGGATCTGGGGGGGGGGCTGTGATGCGAAAATGAGGGCGTATGAGAAAGGGGGGGAAGCGAATCGGTTGCAGGCAGCTGTTGTTTCCGACGCCTTCCCGCGCCCGAGGCGGCCATGTGTCGATGACTGTGGCTCCTCGGCGGGGCCTAAACCAGGCGCATGCAGCAGAATTCTTGACCGCACTTTGCGAATCCACTCCTTTCGCCCTCTCAGAGAAGAGATATGTTGGGGCGGGGCTCGGAACAAAACGAAGGGTAACGAAATTAGGTGGCAACTCTGGTCGCAAAGGCATACTTACCTACTACGCCAAATTTGGCGGCGACTAAACTGAGGCATCAGGCCAGAATAAACCCCAAATCAAGCAGGACCCGGCCCGCTGACGGATCAAGATGGACCAGGCCAGGCTAGGGCGAAACACATCCTACGACTGATGTTAGAGTCATCCTCCACTGTTTTAAGCGAGAGCACAAGGCCATTCCAAGGTTCTAGATGTCCCAAGCATGCAAAAATACTGCACACTACTGCTGTTACAGTGACCGCGATGTCACCGGAGCCTGCTGGCAGCGGGGCAGGCGTCAGGTTAGATCCCCAGCGTCAGATTAGGGGGGGAGGGAGGAAGAGAGAAAAAGGAGGGGGAAAAGTGGAGAAGGAGAAGGCATGAGGAGGAGAGAGATGCGAGGAGAGGAGGAGGAGGGAGGATGGGGAGATGCTTAAGGGAGCTGCGCGCGGCGCTAAACGAGATCCCCAGAGCGAAAACCACTGGCCCTCCATCCTTGTACCTACAGGGCAGTCTTTAGTACATGGGATGTTTAAACATATAGGATGTTTAAAACATGATTAATGTATGAATGAATGTATGCATGAACTCATCGTTGCTCCCTACGTAGGCTCTGCCTACAAGGGTTCTTACCCTCTTAGCTTAAAGGGCCGGGCAGTGGAACACGCCCTGGGCGGTTCCCCCAGCATCCGCCGGGAGCGGTTCCCCCAGTCCCCTGGGAGCTTTAGCTTTAGCTTTAGCTTCAGCTTAGCTTCAGCTTAGCTTCAGCTTAGCTTCAGCTTAGCTTCAGCTTAGCTTCAGCTTAGCGTTAGCTTAGCTTTAGCTTAGCTTTAGCTTAGCTTTAGCTTAGCTAAAGCTTAGCTTTAGCTTAGCTCTAGCTTAGCTTTACCTTAGCTTTACCTTAGCTTTACCTTAGCTTTATCTTAGCTTTACTGATACTACTAATGTTGCTTTCCTAAGGGCTCCAACTCCTAGGTAAGGTCGCACTGGGCTAATTTTTAATACTCAATCCCTGCGAACTTGCGAGCTCGACGCTCATACGTTACAAAGAAATCTCAGGCCGGAGGCCCAACCCGTCATACGGAAACGTCTGCTTCGACATGGGGGACTAGGTTGCAGGGAAGCGAGATCGAGGGGTGGGAAGGGGAGGTGAGGGGAGGGGGGAGGATGAGGAGGTGGGGAAAGGAGGAATGAGGGAGGATGAGGTGGGACGAAAAGGGACAGGAAGAGGAGGGGGAGGGGGAAATGAGGGACCTGATGAGGCAGGGAGGAGGAGGAGGGAGGTAAGAGGAAGAGGTAGGAAGAGGAGGAGGACGGCGACGAGGAATGCCGGGACGAGAATCGATTCCGCAAACATCCTCTCTCCCAAAGGAGCTTGCGGCCTTCTTCCCGAGCTCGCGCAGCAGCTGGCCCGCCACCCTGTCCGGGTACTGCCTGCTCCTGACGGCTGCGACGAGGAAGCAGAAGGCCTGTGGCTGGGGGCAGGCGGCAACGGGTGCGCGCCAGGCAAGAAGTCCGGACGGGGCACGGCGCTGAAGGCTGCTCCTCTTCCAGCCGTCCTCCATCGGGGTGAGGGGGAGGGGGGATGAGGGGGGAGGGAGAGATGAGGATGGGGAGGGTAGTAAAGGGGGGGTGGGGGGGGGAGGAGGCGGAGCTCCGAGACCGATTGAGTCGGCGGTAGGCTCGGGCCGATTCGGCAGGGCCAGCGTAGAACTGGAGGGCTCGGTGGAGAGGAACCTGCAGGCGGTGAGAAGAGAGAGGCTCGTGGGCGAGGGGTGGGGACTCTGAAGAACGGGTTGTCGAGTCGGTGGTCGTGGCACGTATCAGCACTGTTCGGCGCAGCAGTGCAGCAGTGCGGAATCTCACTCAAGCAAGAGTGTGGAATGCGTACTGGGACGAGGACTAGCCATAGGAGTCGTAGTGGCAGTAGCCGTAGCCAGTGACACCAGCAGCATCAGGCAACTCCCACTGGCTTGGCCAGTGGCGTCCAGTGATTCCCTGAGCTCCTCTGCAGTGCTTCCAGACCCCGGGGGAAGGCGTTGCGCTGCCCCCCTCACCCATGCCCTCCCCATGGTCACAACTTAGGCGGACCGCTGGGCCCCAAGGCCTCGCTTGTCGATCCTGCAGCTCAGGACGCCGATGCGCCAAAACAGCACCTCATGCCTTTTTATTTGGCGGCGAAGTTTGACATCAATTCTGTAGTGCCCACAAAGGAAGGCAATGACCGACACCAACCCTCCCTTGACCCCAAATGGCCTCTCAAAAGCCCACGCGATCCGCAATAGACCTCCCGCATGATCCGATCGCCTCCCTCAAAAATAAGACGGACCAGTACGCCCCGCAATGCGCTCCCCAGGGAAGTCCCACGAGCCCTCTGGGCGTAGGTGGTTGAACGAACTTGTGTCTCCTCTCTGCTGAAATCTCTCCCTCCCCTGCTCGCAGGAGAGGTGTCAGAGGGTGCTTTTGGATCCACCAAGATGGCTCCAAGAGGGCCTCCGCGAGCCCAAGATCAATATGGTCTCCCAGACGGGTCAAGATACCTAAAGATCGATCAAGACAGCTTCCGACGCATATCCAAGAGGCCTAACGATTGCCCAAAGACGGTTTCCAGTCCCCGCCGAGCTCTCCGAGGACCCCCACCAAGAGGCCGAAATGGCTCCGACACCTGAGGAAAATCTATGTGCTGCCTTCTCGCGCGTTCGCTTCCGTTCAGCTTTTGCGGCCTCAAGATGGCCCCCACACGTCCCAAGAGAGGCCCAAGAGGAGCCCAAGAAGGCCCCAAGATTTCCCCAAGAGCGCCCAAAAACGCTCCAAGAGGGCCAAGACGCAATTTTGGAGCCTCCAAGGACGGGAACCGAATTAATTCGCCGGCCCACTGGGCCAGAGGCGTGCTAAGATCTCCAGCGCAGGTGGACAATATTTCTATGTAGTTCGCGCGCGCGGGGCGGCCCCTGGGGGTCCCTGGGCGAATAATGCCCCGGGCAGGTCGCCGGCAAAGTCCCGCCAGAGATGGTTTTGCTACTGGGCGCCGCCCTTGGGGCCTCCCAGGGAGCCCCAGGAGGAGCCAAGAGACCGCCAAGAAGCCATCGAAATGGTCCACGAGAGCACCGAGACGCACCAAGATCGCTCCCAAACGCCAGAGATAGCCTCCAGACGGCCAATAAAGCCTCCAAGACGCCCCAAGTTGCCTCCCAAAAGAGTCTCAAGAGGCAACGTTTCGTGTTGTTCCATGGGTTTGTTGAGGGATTACGCGTTCCCATGACTGCCCAAGAGGCCTCGAAGCAGGCCCACGAAGCACCCAGGATGGCAGCAAAAGAGGGCTCAGGCGGGGGACCCGAGCGGCCAGCTCGAGATCTTTGCCCGAAGAGGCTCCCAGGAAGCCCCAACAGGCCCCAGGAAGCCCCCAAAAGGTCCCCAAGAGGCGGTTCTCAAAATACCGATGGGGCCAACCAAGAGACCGCAAGAAGCCTACCAAAGAGGCGTCCTGTCCACGAGCAAAATGCACCCGAGAAGCCTTCGAGAAACACCAGCGTTGGCAGCGGACACACGGGGAATCGAGAGCCGTGAAACAATATGGGCCGGCGGAGGGAGCAAGTCGATTCGGTGAGCCCCCCTGTCTTGAAGACGTGGGGCCCAGGAGCAGGAGGCCACATGCGAGCCCTACCCCTACCCCCCCCCCCCCCCGAAATTTCTGAGGGGGAGGGTGGGGTTCACTTCGCTCGGGAGCTCCCGAGCGAAGTGAACCCCACCCTTCCCCTCAGAAATCGTGGGGGGTAGGGGTAGGGTTCGCATGTGGCCCGCCAAGGAGGCGTCCCAGATCCCTCCAATGAGCCCCGAGTGGGCCTCACAACCCCTAAAACTGACGCCCCGCGGGACCCACAATTACCCAAAGGGGCCCCACGGGTACCCCAAGACAACCCCTAAGATGGCAGCGGTGGTCCTTCAAAAGTCTCTTCACCAACAACATATCTCCAACGCCAGACATCTCATCCTCCTTGTCATCGTCCTGTCCTTCCCTCCTCCGTTCATGCCTCTTCCTCCTCCTCCTCCTCCTCCTCACCTCCCTCGTGCCGTAGTCCTCATCCTCCTCCCCCTCTGTCTTTTTTCCACCCCGCCGCCGTGGGATCTGTTTCGTGGTTAAGGTCAAGCCACACACGACGAACAGCTCGGTTCCTCCGAACTTGCACACGCAAGCGTGCTGTAAGTGCTGAGATGGAAAGCCAGGAAGGGCATACCTTGCGGACGCGTGCATACTGGAAGACGCGTCAAACATCACGCAAGCAAGAAGACGTTGGTCAGGACCTGACCCGTGAAACAGAAGGCGGTTCTTCAGCCAGGCGCGCCCTCAGGAGCCCAAGGAGGGCACGGTGTCTATGCACCCATCCATTTCCCAAAGAGTAGCTGAAGCTGAGGGCAAACGAGGTAATGTTTCATGTCGTCGAAGTGTTTGAATGTATTCAGCGGAGTGGAGGCCAAGAGTGCATCCCCGGGGTGCAGAATGAAACCTAGAAGTGGTAAAGACACATCTCGCCAACAAACCGATGACGGCCAGGGGGAGGTCCACGCTGGCCCTGCGGACTAATCCTTTGACCAAGGCAAAACTCCGAGCAAGGTCATGGAGAGACATTTCAAAAAGACAATTGCGGGCCCGACGGAGGAGGGCATCAAACGGGGCTCGGCGGGAAGATGATATGGGCGTAGGGCATTCATGTAATACGTCTGCACGTCAGGCTTCACACAATGAATCTGAAACCTGCTTTCACGCAGAGAGGCTTGGTAGGTACATGAGCAGGTAGGGAAATTCCGAGGGTGCCATCCAGCCACTGCGCGTGCTACACGCCAGTCGTCGTCTTGCAATGCGCAATCTACGATGGCCTGCGCACTGGGAAAATCATCGCATCTGGCAATGTAGCGCGGACGTGCAGCAGTCGCAACGCGTTCAGGCCTAGGAAACCCCACCGGCAGACAATCGCGTGTCAGACTGGCACGCGCATCATAAGGGAGGGCGTTATTCGGCCCAGCGGACACGAGGCGCACGCTCGATCGGTGGACCTTCACCAACTCGGGCGATGGCGGGCGCAGCTGCAGCACGGAATACACAAGAGACACACGCAACGTCTTAAACAGCATGATGGGCAGTGCCAGGAGATCGCGAAGTTCTCCAGGAGATCGCGAAGTTCCCTCGTCCTCTTCATAAGTTTCTTAGCGCTCTCCTACCAAGCTACCCCCCTCGCCCCCCCCGGCCCGATCCACATGCCGAGACTATATTAGCGCAGGTCGCAACCTCAACCGCATATCAGTCGGGGGCCCGAGGGTCCTCCGGGAGGGTCGCAAGAGAGCACCTCGCAGACCGCTCGCGCACCAAGAAAAATCCCGGCTCCGAAAGATTTAGGACGGGAAGAATCTATTGACACAGCGTGCTATTGATACGTTCCGGAGATTCCGGAATTTCGAACAGCCTTCGCGCGGGGTACAATTTGCGTCGAGTATTGTCTACTCTGGCTGGCGCCGCTGGTCAGTCACCCATTCGCAATCGAGTGGTCGCCCGTAAGGGGCTATATGGCAGTTGCTGACCCCCCTTTTCGTTGCCGAGCGCGGGGGGGACGGTGGCGCACCGTCGCATCGCCCGCCGCTGCGCGCCGCGCGCCTCGGCGGATTTCCAAAGACCTGGTAAGGCAAAACGTGATGGACTCTGGAAATTTCTGCGGGGGTAAAGTTGAACAATTCTGGGAACACGTTTGAACATGTCCGGCCTACTTTTTGAAACATACCATAATGGTTTTTGGAACTTTCCAGATCGATTTTGAAAAATTCCGGAAACTATTTTGAAAAATTCCGGATTTCAGAATTCTTCAGATGTCCTGCGCGGCGGGCGCATTCCACCCCTCAAAACTTTTTTTTTGGGGGGGGGGAAATTTCCGGGCTCATTTTTGAAAAATTCCGGAACCGCTTGCGCGGAACAAGAACAGAAGCGTTTTGTGACACATACTATCCCGAAATCATGCACGGGCGGTCCGACGGGCGCGGCGGGCTGGTTCACGCGCCGCGCCGCGCGCGATTGGGCGCAGCGCGCGCCGCGCGTTGCGCCCGCGAACAGCGCTCGAAGGGGCTACCTCGAAAACAGCGCCACGGCAGCTGCGACTCGCGGGCTCCCCAAGAGTAACACAGCATGCAGCTTGGAATCGTCGAGGGCGCTCCGATGCGCGAAAAACGCACTGCGAACATCACGCAAAGAACCTGCGCGACGGAATGCGCTCGACCATTCGTCCCTGGAGCCCGCGCGGAAGAACAGGAAAACCTGGAAATCTGGAAAACTATCAATATCAATACTTCATGTTCCTCTGAGGATTGCCCCTCGCAAGGAGGGGGCCACATGCGAGCCCGACCCCTGCCCCCCCACGATTTCTGGGCCCCGCGGGGGCCCCGCGGGGGGTCAATTTTAGAGGCTGTGGGGCCCGCGGGGGGTCAG